GAATAATGATATTGCCAACTTGCTGACAGAGAGTTTCATTAAAGTGATCCAGGCTGGTAGAAGTAAAGTCTTTATACCAGCAGGCAATTCTTTGATTGAATTCACCATGATATTTAGTAGCAAGGTGATATCGAAGACGCCACGCCTTTTGCAAAAAGGAAGGGTTATAACTAATGCCCAGTGATCACTACCTAAGAATGGGATGACTTTCGCAGTGCTTGGTAGTGTGTGCTGATTGTATAGAGCTATATAGTCCAATTTTCCGCACAAATAATGTGTTTTTTCGAAGGGCTATAATAGATTTACGGGTTCACTAGTATTTTGGAGATAATCATAATAAACCTTACCGTTTTTTGACAATGGTACTTCCCTCGGAGCCTAGGAAAGGATGGCGAGCATTAAAATCCCCACACAATAAGACAGTATCAGTATGTATCATGCAGTCAGGAGGTTTAGGTACCACCTCACTATCATGTGGATTATATACATTAATTATAGTGATAGATTTACCATCAAGAAATATTTTAATACTAAGATATTCAGCACAGGAGTTGTAACGAATGTCATCAATCACTTTCAATGGAATTGAGTTCCTTATGTAAATACCAAGCCCTCTCATAGAGGTGTTAGTAATATTTGGTCTGTCACAGTATGTGTATCCCGTAATTTTTGCATAACGATCGCTAGTTCTGACTTCCTGAAGGCAACACATCAACATTTTCGGAGTGAAGGTACTGCGAGAGAAATGCCTTGAGTTTCTGTAAACTGTTTATGTTCCAGGTAATACATTTCAAGAGATTACTGACAGACTTTGATTACTTGACCATTTCCAAGGCCCACTACAGGGTGATGCTGTTGTTGATCGAAGAGGAACGAGAACATCCTTTCCTGAAGTTGAGATTGCTGAGCCATTTGTTGCTGCATCATGAACATTATCTGTTCCATCTGCCGAAGTAGCATTTGCAGCAGTTATCTGATTTCTCCGTTGGACTCTCATTTGTCCTGTTGCAGAGAGGGTTGAGCTGCAGCTGGTGCTGTAACTGATGCTGAAGCTGGTGCTGAAGCTGGTGCTGAAGCTGGTGCAGCAGATGGTGCTAGAGTTGGTGCTGCAGCTGGTGTTGAAACTGTTGATGGTGCTTGAGTTGACAGAGCTTAAACTCCTGCTTGAGCTAGTACTGTGGTCGGTGCCATGGCTTCCGTTGCTTCCGTTGTTTTTTGTTTTTTGTTTTTTTACTATTTGTTTTTCTGTCTTTTAAATAGTAAGTGCATAATGGAGAATTGGCATTATGCTCTTGTCGACAGTTCACGCAGGGCCATTTTTTCCTTCGGAAATCTTTTCTGCGCATTCTGAACTTCCGTGTGGAAGAGCGCAGTAATGGCATCGCGTTGCGTCTCGTGGATAAGCACGTGTTTCGTGGCCCCATTTTGAACAATTGACACACACACACACACACACAGAGAGAGAGAGAGAGAGAGAGAGAGAGAGAGAGAGAGAGAGAGAGAGAGAGAGAGAGAGAGCGAGAGAGAGAGAGAGAGAGAGAGAGATACACCCGATGGAGGGGCAACAGGCCAGTCCCCTACAATTGCAACGGTGAACCTGGATATTGTGGTTTATCGCCTTCATATCTCACGACAGAATTGACTTGAGTGGAACCTGTCTGATATTTCTTTATTTCTACATCAAAAATACTAACGAAAATATACAATACACCCATATTCCGATGTTTACTGCGATTCGAAGATTATACGTTTTTTCTGTGGAAATTTGTGAAATGATTTCGTAGGCCTTTCCAACACTATTATGATTTTAATAATGGTGGCTTAGAGACCCAGATTACAAGTTTCTTCATCAGTGACTTAAACTTGCAATATATTATGACTTTAAATATTTGTCTATGTAAACTTGAATAAGATTTTTATATATCGCTTAATTCGGTAAAATATCAAACCAGGAGGTAATGCATGTTATCTTTATTATTTTCTATAGTCTGGATGAAGAACCGTTTGTCTAAAACTACTCCTTCAAAATATTGCATAACATATATTCCTTTCTTATATCTTGCTGCATTATGAGTTTCATTTTGATTTTTTGAACAATTTTAATTTTTGAACTTATTAATCTTCATATCTATCTGTTTTTTTAATTCTATTTGTCTATGTCTATATCTGTTTATCAGTTTTGTCTCTCTCTGTCTTCGTCTCACAGTCTATCTGTCTCTCGTTCGGTCCAATAGACTGTCCATCTCCCTTGCACACGGCCTTGTCTTTCTCCTCCATCGTCGATTAACTTACCCGTTTTGTGGCAATTCTTCATCCTCTCCTATTCCTCTTTCCAAAAGCTATTTTGGAAAGAATTTTAATATTTTCCAACTCAAAAAAAATAATCCACTTAGAAATAAGTAACGGAGTGAATGCCAAAAGGTAGAGGAAGGCAACTATTTACAAATAAAATGGTAACCGGCATCGCAGGAGGAGAAAGAGAGAGCGCGAGAAGCATCAT